TCTAATCACATTATACGGTCAACACATTATATGGTCAACTGTCATTAATCAAAAGTTTGAAATGATTTTTGTAATTTTGAAGTGATGAGTATTAATTATTTAATGATTAAATGAAAGATTAAATACATCAAAATGTAACGGTTTTTGGAGGAAAAATTGTTAAATTGCCACATAGGTAAAATTAAATAGGTTTTATTAAATGTTATTAGCTAGTAATTATATATATATAGATATTGTTAGGCCGAAAGAAAATGTAAAAACTTTTTGTAAAGTCATACCAAGCTATGAAAACTCAAAAAAAATTATATTTTATTGTGATGTATTATATTAGTTTTCTAGAAACAAGTAGGCCCCCACTCATATAATGAGCTAGATCCGCCCCTGATTGGTGACATATTTTCCCTCATGTTTAGGGTCATTTCTTGTTGCACTCACATATGAAACCATGCTAGTAAAGGAGGTGTAATTTCGTCATTCCTTGAGTCTTGAATCCCTCTCAGATAGGCAACTCTCTAAGGTATGGAACGAAATTAACAAATGGGGCTTGTCCTTTGATAATGACTCCTCTAGTGGGATACCCATCTTGAATTGTTGTAGTGGAGAAGGGACCTCTTTGGTGGCAGTTTATCCTAGAATGCAACATAAATGTTTGGGTCAATTTGTATGCAATAATAATACTTGAAACTGACACTACTTACAATATTTTTGCTCTGTTGGGTGGAGATTCCAATGGGTGTGCGTCTATATTCTTAAAGCTCAACGCAAGTGTGCGAATTCACTCGTAGTGTGTGGCAAGCAAAGTCGTATCTCAAGAGTCCAAATAATTAATGTGTCAAGTACTAGATTACGACAGTGTTAATTTTATTTAGATGATTGAATATAAGATAGATTAACTAACCTAAGAAAATGTAATAAAAAAAATATAATCAAATCAAGAATAAGGAATTAACTAAAAAATACGTAAGAGAAAATATATGGGAATGAGAGATTATAAGACTATATATGGTATAAATTAACAGTTAGGTTCCTTCAAAAATATATATAACAACTACGTATTTCTTCGTCTACCCTATAGAATGAGCACAAATTCAGCTTATTCTCCCTCTCGAGATCGATAAAACCGTATATTAAATCACATATATTAGCATCTCCACTCAACACATGCAATTCAACTCCAAATAGAATAAAAAAAAATATCCTCACAACGACCTACTAATCTCTCGATTCAAGCAAGTAAATAGTGTCAAATATTAAAGACCTAATATTGAACTCATTTCTCAAATTATGAACAATATTGTAAAACATGTAAAATCATTGATCAAGCGCGAAACATGAAATCAAAATAAAATATTTGAATACGGTACAAAAGAAAAATATTAATTTGTAATAAATTATCCAAAATCCCAACATAATATCCACTACAACATCTTAGGATCAATAAATTTAGCAACTCATAATCACATACATAAACATATTAGAAATTGACATGATAAATAAAGTTCAAAAGAAAGAAGAAAGAAAAACTAGAAATCTCGCCGATCTCTCAATCTTCTTGATTGCTTTTTTGTGTGTGCTAAGGTTCCATCTCTTGTTTCTCACGTTCTTCCTCTCTTAGAAGAGGGTAAATATGTTTTTTTTATAAAATCTCAAAGTGTTCTCCTTTTTAAAATAGGCAAGAAATAAAAACATCTGCACTCGAGACACGACCATCCAGCCCATATCATTGGACGTTGCCCATATAAGATCCGAAATTTCACTTTTAATGTGACATGGTCTCTGACACGAGCATAATGCCCATGTCACAAATATGTATTATACTTCTTGCTCGTTTCACTCGTTTCTTCTATTTTTATCCATTCGTAGATCAATCCTTCATTATCGCAGGAGTCTTAGGTACTCACCATGCGCCTCCAATAACCAAAAGCTCTTAAAAAACGTAGAAATATCTACAAAACGAGCACGTATAATACATTTCCAACAAGATATAGAATGAAAGCGTAATAACGCAATTTATACACCAATAATGCAATAAAAAAGCTCTAGATACTATATAAATCTATATATATGTATATATAAATTTGTATTTACTTGAAATAGAAACTAAAATTCCGCTTAACTAAAATAGCAAAATAAATAAATAAATAAATGTAATTAATTAAACATAGTCAAGTACGTAGGATTCGACATAGTCAAGCAATTTCATAAGAATGCCAAAATAATTAATCAGTGTAATTAATTAAACATAATCAAGTACGTAGGCTTCGACATTCCCGTAACTATAAATAAAATCTACTCTAATATAATAAATACTAAATAAAAGAGAAGAATAAAATTATCTTTCTCAAGTACGTCCCTCCGCGATTGATCGGCTTACGCGTCAGTGTTCTGCTCTACGGCTCTCATTTTGTCTGTTTGCGTGCATCCCAAAAAAAATCCCCAGGCCTGCTTGCTTCCTCTCTTTTCCTACTGGCTTCCCTCAAATAAATACCTCCAGGGTTGCGTGAATGTACCCTCCGCAATTCAAGTGTTGCTCCAATGAATTGGGCTCATTCATTTTGGGCCCACTCTTTAATATTATTGCCATTATTCATTGGGCATATAAGCCCATAGCTGGAAGTTCAATTGCATGGGTGAACAGGGCCTTATGTATACACATATCCGTAAATAAGTTGATATATAAGTACCCAATACTCCACCTTTTTAAAGTTCGCGTTCAACCTACAATGTCCATATAATTACTTCAATATCTTGAAATAAACCATAAATATATCATAACACTTGAATTCATTTAATAAATAAATAAGTCAAAACATATATAAATACGGTAAAATTAAGCATATAAAAATACGTCAATAATTATATAAAATATACACTTTTTCCGACCAATCATTGACCGAGGTAGATGGGCAGCTTTAGCAGCTAAATCTTTGGTACCAATGAATTCTCTTATAAAAGGGGAGTAAGGTACAATTGTCAACTCTCTACAATCTCTACATTCTCTATATACATACATTTACATATTATACATTTCCTTCTCCTGTATTGACTTTTTGCGTCGAAATGCTCACGCGGGAAACCACTTCGACACTTGTTTTGCAGATGATCAGCTGCGTTGGGATGGTAGGAGCTCAGCCAATTCAACCTAGGTCCAGGCCTCTAGCACATCATCAAATATATGCGATATTAAAATGATAAACCAATCGATCTGTCGAATTGTCATTTAATTATTAGTCTATAAATAATTAAAATATTTGTAATATGTATTGGTATAATTAATTAAACCAATGAGTCATCTGTCGAACTGCAATATAAATCATAATCTTAGAAAAAAATCAAAATATATAAATATGTTATAAATTATGATAACAAATCAACATATCATTTATCGAACTATTCATATAAATTATCAACTAAGTAAAAAAAATCAAAACACTTATAATATATATTATTTTAAATTATAATGATATACCTCTAAATTACCTACCAAACAACAATGTAAATTGCTATCATAGAAAAAAAATTAAAATATTTATAATGTATATTGTTATTAATTATAATAAAGAATCAACCGGTGTCGAATTACTATTTGAATTAATTTAGAATAAAATTAAAATATTTATTATATACATTATTATGAATTATAAAAGTATTGAAATAATTAGGAATTACTAAATTTTATTACTTTGAAAATATACACTACATTCTTTTAATTTAGATGTCAGTTTATAACACTTGTCACAATTTTCAATTTATCAATCACTTATTTAGGATTCAAAACAATAAAGTGTAATTAGCTATGAGTAAGGGAGGAGAGAAAAAAACATATTTATGATTATTGTTTATTAATAATGTTAGAATATGTTAAATTTTCACGTTTATTATTTGTAAACAAGAACTGTATAATGACAATTATTATATAACGGTTAGATATACAAATAAATCATACAGTTAAGTGAATATATATAATAAAAGAAGATAAAAAATTAATTTTATTTTCCACTAATGGTATCACTTCAATGCTTTTATATGATGTATCATTATTGCCCTTAAATAGCATCATTGTGTACTATACTAACTAGTGTGTAACCCGTGCGATGCACGAAAAATAATATGAAATAGTAATTATAAATATGAATCGAGTTTGAGTCACTCAATGAAGGAAGTGAGAATTAATATTGATCCTCTTTAAAAAGAGGAAAAAAAAGAATAACTATAAATTAAAGTAGAGTATAAATAATATTAAATAATAATTATAAATTAAAGATGTTGAGTCAAATAAATTATCTTGTATAATAGAATATAAAATTGCATGTTTAAAATATTAAAAAACACCTAAATTATTATATTAATATATGTAAAAATATCCAAAATTTTTTATATTATTTTTTAAAGGTGTGAAGCCACCTACAACATCTTGTAAAGAAAATATGTCTAAAAATATTTAAATTTAACATCTATAATATATGTATATGTGTTTAACATTTATTACGTATATGTGTATGTATATATAGATCGAAAATGTAAAAAAAAATGTCTAAATAATTTGTTATTTAAATTGATATTCAATATTTGTTAGAGCTTTAATGGTAATAGATGTGTATTGAATCAGATATTGGAACGTATAATAATTAAATTTCAAATAAACATTTTGAATTAAAATATGAGATCGTGTTTCGATTTTTTAAGTTCTGTAACCAACGCCAAAATATTTTGGCTATGCATGGGCTGACATATATTAATCAAATTTCAAATAAACAGTTTGAATTAAAATATGAGATCGTGTTCCGATTTTTAAGTTTATGTAACCAACGCTAAAATATTTTGACTATGCATGGGCTGTCCGAAAAATTCCAAAATTAATATTTTTAAAATGTTGTTTGAATAATTTGATAACTAATTATAGTAAATATTAATTCTTATTATATAAGTATAGATTTCAAATAATTGGGATTGCCAGCATTTCAATGAAATACATTAATCGCAATTTACCAAAATAGAATCCCTCAAAAATTCCAAGTACATCGTCACAATATCCCTACTCAGTCCCAAACCACACCATTCTCAAACCTTCCCACGCCACCATATAAAACGACATCGTCGCCGCGGATGCCAGCCGGAGAATTCCGCCACCCGTCATCTCCCCCGCCGGCTCCCGGGTCGGAGGATGAGGAGGAGTGGGTGTGGGCCCAGATCAAAGCCGAGGCTCGCGACGATGCCGAGGCCGAGCCTGCCCTGGCCAGCTACCTCTACTCGACAATCCTCTCTCATTCCTCCCTCGAGCGCTCACTCTCCTTCCACCTGGGAAACAAGCTCTGCTGCTCGACCTTGCTGTCAACGCTCCTCTATGACCTCTTCCTCAACATTTTCTCCACAGACGCCGGCCTCCGCTCCGCCACCGTCGCCGACCTGCGCGCCGCCCGTTTTCGCGACCCTGCCTGCGTCTCATTTGCTCACTGCCTTCTGAATTACAAAGGATTCCTAGCTTGTCAGGTTTTTTTTTNGGTTACTTCGAGAGTGCTATTGCAACCTCTGTGAAATGCATTTATTATTTATTTATTTCTGGTTGTTTTATGTTTATCTTTTTAGGTTTTGTGTTAGTACTTGTTCTTGTTGAATAAAACCCCTTCAGATAGGAATTTCTCTAGTATTTGGTTTGGTTTGATTTTTGCATCCATTGTGCTTAGAGTTTCAGGAGATTGATTGAGGGAACTTATGGGTTTTTAGTTTTTGCATTTTCTGGCAATGAAATTCGAATTTAAATAGTTCTCTAAAACATTTTTTTAAGAGGTAAAATTTTTGTGAGTTTACTGGTTGTTGATTTTGCACTGTGATGGGATATATTGTTTTCTGATTTCGAAGTCACAAAAGGGGAGCATGATACTAAAATTGTTGATCAAATAGAATATTTGAGGTTTTTTTGCCTTATAGATTAGTCTGAACCATTAATAGCTTGAAAATTTGAATTTTAGTTCCTTAGATCTGGCCTCTTGTATATTATACTTCAGAGTTGTACTTTTGGTGCCTCAAACCATAACTTTATATGATTATTCCCTAAATATTTTTAAAAAAAAAATGTTGTAAAAAAAAATCAATTTGAGTTGCTCCTGATGCACATATCCCCAGAAAAAAGCTCGAAGTTACTTCCATTCACCATATTTTAGGAGAACTGTTAACTTCTTTGATCATCCTTGTCGTATACTTACAATAGTAACTTCATTAATCATCCTCCTTGTCACTAAATACGTACTTTTTTGTCGTTTAATAGCACCTCTTGTGAAGCAGTATTCCATCATTACAAAAACTAAAACCGAATTACCTATAAATTCTTTGTGAGGTGGTACAGTTTCTATAAATGGTTGCAGAAAGTTTCATGCAGAAGCAATAATAGCTGCTTATGTGAGTATCTCTGCCACAGTGTTGAAACTTATGGGCGAAGAACATTCATTTCACTCTTATAGATGACATTAAAGCATTTCTAGTTACATTAAATCATCATAAAGCTGTCCTTATATCCATCTCTGGATGTGCTACTATGCTAGAGACGACCATGGATATCATTATGTGCATGTTTTTGGCTCTTTGAAATGTGTGTATAACAACATCTAAAGCATATGCATTTATTAATTACACTCTGCGAGCATTTATGCTGACTTTATAACTTCAGGAGAAGATGTACGAATTTCTTTTATGCAGCCGCATTAAATGTGCTAATTTTTATTATCCAAATAGCTTCGCCGAACTTATGTTGTCATGAAATTTAGAAAACGTAATGACTGAAAGTGTCAAGTAAAAGATTAGTGGAACTTAGCCATGAAAGGCTTGAGTCTCCCAACCCTTTCTTGGTATTGAATTTATTAATTACATATACCTATACATAGATAGTTTCAAAACAAAAATATAAAAGAGAAAAGAAAATCGATTTCCGGGCATGGGCATCATCATTATCTTGTATTTGTTAAGTTGGCAACTTATATTCATACATACGTTCACTAGCATTTATGAACTCACCCACAACAACAACAACAACAACAACATAGCCTTTAGTCCCAAGCAAGTCGGGGTAGGCTAGAGATGAAACCCAGGGAAAACACAAAAAAACTCGAACCAAAAGGAAGAGATCGAAAGAAAGAAAACAAAAAATAATAATAATAATAATAAAATAAAAATAAAATAAAATAAAATAAAATAAAATAAAATAAACGGANGAGAGAGAGGGGGAGAGAGAGAGAGAGAGAGTTATTTTTCAACAGCTTACGTGAAAAAGCAAACTAACATAACTAACCGGTGATGATTTTTTTGTGCAGGCTCACCGGGTGGCCCACAAGCTGTGGACCCAATCCCGAAAGCCACTGGCTCTAGCCCTCCAGTCCCGAATCTCGGACGTGTTTGCAGTGGACATCCACCCAGCAGCTCGGATAGGAAAAGGAATCCTCTTCGACCACGCAACAGGTGTCGTTGTGGGAGAAACAGCTGTCATAGGGAACAATGTCTCCATCCTCCACCACGTAACCCTTGGTGGCACCGGCAAGCTTGGCGGGGACCGCCACCCAAAAATCGGCGATGGTGTGCTCATTGGTGCCGGAGCAACTATCCTCGGCAATGTTAAAATCGGCGAGGGGGCGAAGATTGGGGCTGGCTCGGTTGTTCTTATAGATGTGCCGCCGAGGACGACAGCTGTCGGGAATCCGGCTCGACTGGTCGGAGGCAGGCAGCAGCCGACTAAGCACGAGGAGATTCCAGGGGAGTCGATGGATCATACGTCGTTTATATCCGACTGGTCGGATTATATAATATGAGCAGGGGTTGAGAGTTTTTGTAGCTGCAAACTTTGCAGTGTTGAATGATGATGTTCTTTGCTGCTACTTGGTGAAGTTCATGTTTTTAGTTTGAAGTGAGAGATGGATGGATACAAAGATAGTGGTGTATTTGGATTTGGTTCATTGTTGTTATTGTACGTTTTTAAGGGATGATTGGTTTGTGTTTTGACGATGTGGGATTTATGGGGGGTGTTTTTGGAGAATGGGAGGAGACGCTATTTGTGTGTTTGACTAAATGGAGATGATGCTTTATGAATGATGATGAGATTATGCCGAAATTGAAATATCCAATAGGGAATAAATGAAGGTGACAAACAATGCTGCGTATTCTTCAATTGTATGAGCGAAATTAAGAATGTATATTCGTTCTCCGGGAGTGAAGATTTACACAGTAATTAATACTTCTGTTACTATTAGGCTTGCTAGTTAAGTCGGTGTATTGTTTTCATAAATATGCATATTTTTATTATAAAATATGGCACTTTAAAATAATAACATAAATATAAGTACGACAAAGGTGTATAAGAGTAAACATTGTTGTTTGTCGAGTATTGAGATTGTTTCATATAATAATTTGTGGAAGATATATATAGCCTCTAGTTATTGCCACTTACATCTTGGATAGGTTAAACAACTAGTTTTATGATGGAATGTATTGATTCTACAATTAATACAAATTCACGATGTACATCAAAATTTCTAAAGTTCTGTTTAAATGTGAAAAATAGAATTTTGAAAACATCATAGTGAATTCAATATACAGCAGATTCCCTCGGTGAGAAATTCTAATTCCTCTGGAGTGGGGGTATCTGAAAATGTGTTATACTAAAATATGGACTTTGTGAACCTAAAGGAGGCCTTACTCAGATGTGCTAATACTGAGCTAGGAGATCAATTGGTGGTAGTTAGCTTCTAGTATGAGAAATTAGTTAACTTGGACAGAGGTTGTGCTAAGAGACTAGATGATATAACTTCAAACAATCTTCTGGAGGGATAGTATTAGGACTGGCTCAAGGCTGGGGAATTTAACTAACACTACATTAGGGTATTTAGGATCACAACTTTTTTCTCAGAACCAGCAATCCAAGTCATCAGAAGCTGCCAACATAATTAGGAGTGCAGATACCTACCCTCAAGAGGAAAACCAAGCACAACAAGCTATGATGGAGGCTTCAAATTTTCCACATCAACTGATCACAAAGGGATTACAAACACAAAAGAAATAGCGAAGATTTATCAATCATTAGTGATCTTTAAAGAACCTAAGGAAGTAAATACCCACAAGGAAGGTGGAGGTTATACAAATATTAAGTACTGCCTTTTTGCTTTGAGATTGAGGCAAGACTCTGGGCAGGGGGGAGGGGAGGGATTTTGTTTGGTTGGTGCTAGTCTATATGAATTATGATAAGGGGATCAGAGAAGAACAATGGAGATTTATACAAGAAAAGAAACAAAAGTGGGGAGATAATGGGCTTATGGCTGGAGATTGGAATGGAATTTGGAACAATGAGGAAAAAAACGGGGATAAGGAAAATATTAGGATATGCATCTTGTGACTTGTAATATTTATACTTGTCTAACATAACTCTAAAGTTTGACAACTTTCAATACACATTGAAATTACAGTGATGGCCTTATATGTCTAATAGTGTCTGTTTAAGTAAATAATGGTGCTTAGTTTTGGTTGGGGGAAAAGAGTTTTGGTTGGGGGAAAAGGGAGGGGAGTGGAGAGATTTTTTTTATATTTCTCTTGCTCAATCGCTATTCACCGCCCCCCTTTTACTAGTCACCGCCCCCCCCATTTACTCTTTTGCCCTTAACCCTTTTTTGGATTTCATCTCTCTAAACTTTATCTCTCTAAATTTTCCGAACTTCAACGAACGATTCGAGCATCAAAAAAAATCCGAAAAAATGTCGAAAAAATTCTACGGCCTCGACAAAGGATTCTTCTCCAACAAGGTAATTTTTTTTTTTTTTTT